GAGTTTACTGATAGTTATCAATAATCAACAGACAATGTTACTCTTGATTCCTCTTTTATAAAATATGTATATATGTCTTTATTTTCATATTATGGATATCTCACAGTAATGAAGGGTTAAAGTCCTAAAAACTGAGCCATGTGCAGACTGCATTATTTATGCAGGACTCCCTGCACTCCCAGCTCTGCACTCGCTGAAGAGCTTGTACCTCAGCTGATGAAAGGGCTAGCTATGACGGCACGGTGCTGTGGTACATTGCAGACGGTTGTGTAATAATCAGAGGGATTCACTTGCTGTCCTTTGCAGCTGCTACCCTGCCCAGTGGAGGGAGAGGTGCCAGCACAGGGGTCCATCAGCCAACTGCGGCACTGTTTCAAGTGCACTTTCCTGGAAGGAAGAGACTCATTGGACCAAACCAGACTGTACTATTCTATATATATATAAAAAATGTGCCATTTCAATGAAAATATGCTTCTGGTAGGGTTATGCAATGACCACACTAATATTCTTTGCTGTTTACCAAAAAACATGTTTCTATGTTTTTGCTACATTTTGTTAAATTATATATCTTCAAATACCTAAAAATGTTTTGCATTTTTTCACACATTCCAATGAATAACACCTATCGATACAACAATAGGCCTCTCGAAAACGGGTGGCAACTTTCAGTATACTGGTTACCTGAATGCTGGTTAACAGCTCATTAGCATAAGTGCTGAAGAGTAGGTTTTGGCCTGCTTATGCAGAGGAAGGCGAGACTATTAAATAAATATGATTGAAAGCCTTTTTCTGGGCAATTTGTAGACTTACAGTTGCAATCAAAATGTCTTGCTCAAAATTACTTACTTTGATCTTGCTGAGTTTGAGGTTTTACACATATTTTCTGATGATCTTACGTTTTTATAAGTTGAGTAACATATTCAACTTAATAATGGAATTGCATTATAAGTTCTCTAACTTGTAGAATTGCGTTGTGATGCAGCTATTTAAGGCTACAACATTTTTGCAAAACACAATAAAAGCCTTTGTGAACTGTACAATAACAGCATTTTCCTTTGCTGTCATATAGATGTAAATCCCTATGAGGAGCTGAGCGAAAAGAATAAATTATTTTATTGCACCTAAAAGGCGATGGATTAAAAAAAAGAGATTTTCAAGACACTTCAAGTTCCAAGAGACTCTGGCAGCAGCATATGCAAGTTTACATTTCATGGCACAAAGGCAAAGCATCCTGGGTGTAGAAGAAAGAGCAAACTTTCTCTAAGGGGAATAATAATGCCAGATACTTGCAAGAAGGCCTGATGAAAGCAGAAGCGAAACTGTCTTCACAGACTATAAGAAGAACACTAAATAAGCAGGGAGTAAACGCCCAGAGACCCACCAGACTCCATTCTTGACCAGAAAGCACATAGGTTGCCTTGAATATAAGAAAAATGTCGGTATGCAGTACGTCTTGTACAAGGCGTGTTTGCTAAAGGAACTGGGAAGCTTGACTATGTGACTGGAATTTTGCATTATTTGAAATACCAGACCGTTTTGAAGAAGAATGTGATGCCTTCGGTGCCTAAATTGAAGCTTGACAATAGTAAGACTTTCTAGAAAGCTATTAACCCCGAGCACACAGTGTCTGTCTGTCTGTCTTTTGGTAAGATTACACAAAAACTATCAGGCCAGAACTCATGGTGGAGTGGTAGAGCATGGTCAAAGGAAAAATGCATCAAATTTTCACTGTAGATCTGGATCGTCCTCTTTAAAATTGTGACATTTTTTAAAGAGTTTGAGTTTTTAGGTGGCCATGTATTTGATGTGGGTGCAGATTTTCTATGTGACCATATTTATCTTCTCATGTAAATCTTCATATCCACACCAGGATGTATATTTTCAGTTGAACCCGCATGGCTCAAATTAAGTCACTTTTTCATACAAGCTCTTTATATTGTGTTTCTGCCTGCAGTGGAGTGTAAACCCAGCTACTATTTGACACCTTTCTAATTACACGCAGAATTTATCCTCATTTAATCAATCATAAATCAGCATGGCAGGAACTTAGATAATCAGTGACTACTTTTTGATACTATTTATTACTAAATTATGGTGCTTATACAGTGTCATAGCTCTAAAATCACAGTTTCTATAATCCCAATGCTTGGATTTCTATCAGTCTTCTGTTAGCATCGCCGCAGTATTGGGCTCTCAAGAGGTTGATGTAATCAATCTATTCTACGCCTCGAACTGAATTCTGAGCAAACTGGTGTACATGATAGCAGAATGTTAATTTGAAGAGTGCCTGCTGCATTGTTTTCATTAGCTAAAGGAAGGGCTGTGAAATGAAGAGCGTTATTTATAGTCACATAAGTAGGATTGTCCTCACATGCTCTGAAATTTCAATGGCAGTTGTGCTCTAGATAACTGCTGCTGGGCAATCTGAGCACCTGAGAAGATATTACAGTGGACACACTCGATCCATGTACCATTAAAATATCACACTATTCCCTTCCACATCATCCAGTTTCCAGTTAAGTTTCCAAAGGTTTAAGTTAACAATGGCATATAGTAATTGGTAAATTGAATAACTGTAGCCATAAATGCCACAGAAATATTACTTCTACAATCACTATTGGTTCTGATAATCATAAACAATAATAATAATGAACCTATACACACTGACAAATGCGACCATTTTTATTGTAAAATTCCACAGCTATGTGCAATTCCCTTATGAAAAGGACTTTTTCCATGACATATATAATATATTATGCAGACCCTAACAGAATTGATCAGTGCCCCCTTTTTTATGCAATAATCAAATATACATAGATGGCAAACAACTAACATACTGTATGTATGAGAATCATATGAAATTTATTTTCTTGTAGGATGCCTTTTGCTGAGCTCTGTGGTTCCAGTGCTTGTTCTTTTGTTTTTCTGCAGTTTGACAAAATACATAAACAATAAAAAAAATTATCTACATGTGCTGTTCACATATATGTCTCCTTTGTGGGTCCCAAAAAAATAAAATGAAATCATGTTGTCAAAAATAAGTACAGTATAATAAACGTCCATGTCAATGCAGGAAAAAGGGATTAAGACCAGATGAGCGAGTCCCAATTCTTCAAATCATCCCTGTTTGACCGTAAACATACTTAACATGCACGCTACTGAGCATAGACACAAAAAAAGTGCTTCAGTACCTCCCGTACATTTTTATGTGTCTGCATTTTAAGTAGAGTGCACACATATAATAAATAAATAAATAAATAAATATCAAGCTTCTACCATCATGAAAAACAAACCAAAAAAAAAAAAAGTACCATAACATTTGTTTTCTGCACCACTGTGAAAACACACGACATGTTTCAGTCATCATTAGTATGATGGATTTTTAAAACAAAGTCAGAAATGTCTGATTTCAGTTCACCCTGATACAGGAATTTGTTTTTAGCAGTTTGTTGTTCATTTTAGCAAATTATCCTCATTATCCTAATGCTTATGGTTCTGTACCATATTAAATCTGATCTAAAATAAAACAAACAACAACAGCAAAAAAAACAAAACAAACTAAAACCCTCAACAGAAACTAAATAATACAATTCCAGAGCACCTGCAAATCCAGAGGATCATGAGGTGTGTTGTGTATCACATTTACTTCACTTTAAGCATATGTCCTCTCTTTCTGCATAAGTGAATTCACAAATAAACTTAAGGTTTGATATTCTCTATTGCATGGGTGTCAGTTTGGCACTTTATAAGATGTAATCACTCTGTTATACTTCTTTCAACTACTGAACACTGATGATGACCGGTCTACATTGCTACTGACACACTAACGCCCCTAAAGATGTGAGAAATAGCATTATGTGTACACTGAAGACAGGTTCAGACTACTAAAGCTGCAGCTTCGGAACACAACAGGACCACCATTAATTACGAAAGGGAAAGAACTCTAGGAAATATGAGATAATCTGATAAATGCATATGTTTGGATCATCACTGATGCTTTATTTATGGCAACTGTCAAGACCAAAGCAAACCCTCGTGGTGGTGGGAAAAGTGAAAATCATCAGTAGTAAGCTAGACAAGCAGATGTTCTTCTTCTGGTGGCTTGGGAACTGTTTTGTGTTTTTTTTTTTGCTTGTTTTTTTTGTTTTTCTTTCATCATTATTATTATAATAATTGAAATAAAGTCACCTACTCAGAAGCTGCACAACAGGTAATGTTGCAAGTCACGAATTCAACAAATATAACAGTTTGACAGTCCTTTGTGAGAGTAGTGTACATTGATCACAACATAGAAAAACACAAGATAAATAAGCTCAAGCTCCATCGACACATTGAACAAAAATGTATCTTTGATATAAATGACAGCATTCTGTGTTTCTTTTTCAGGGGCTATATGAGCATAAAATGCATTTTTCTTTCAACAAAATAAATAAATAAATACCATCAATGAATAAATAAATAAATACCCCATTACCCCCGAGTATTCTAGATGGTCAGTCCAGCATAATACAATAAGTATAATATACTGTATGATGATATACTGTAACAATGCTGAAATTACAAAATATATACCCTTTTTAAAATCCCAAGGGCTTGACAAATGTTTTCTTCCATTTATAATTTATGTACATAAACAATGTGATTTACACCCATTCTTTGTGAGTTTACAAGTCATACTGCAGCACTGTCTCCATTGATTGCATACTGGTGTCTATCAAAACTGATCTGCAAGGGGTTCTAATTCATGTGCATTATATGTTATCATACAAGACATTTACAATTCAGACGCCTCCGCTGTGTTCTCTGCTCTCGTCACACATTCAAGCAAATTTTTAAGGGTGGGGGGGAAGGTAAAAACAAATGAAACAACAATGAACTTCTGCTCAGCCCTGCAAATCAGTTTCCTCACTGTGTAATGATTTACAATCTAAATGTGATTCTGGAAGTGAGAGGCTTGATAATAAGGCTTCCACATCTGTTCTTGACACAAGCAGATGCTTTTTTTTTTGTCTTTTTGAAATGCTCAAGTTTATTTATTATTAAGACTTTTTTTTTTGTCATCTTAAATGAACTCTGCTTGACTGCAAAGTGCCCTCCAGCTGTCTTCACTGACATTTGCACTGAGGTTTAGATTAGTCTCAATGCCGCTACTTGAAGGTGAAACTCAACCTGTGGTGTTACAGCTGCAGGTGTCACTCTGATAACGCAAAGGGCAAGTAATGATTCGTTTTTATAACAACACGTAGCTTGTTTTAATATAGTTTCTCTTGTACCTGCTTGCGTAACCAATATACAATAGTGGTGTGTCATTATGTAAATGTGGGCTTTTAGCAGCACATGGAGGAGGGGCTGAAGGGTCAGTGTTGTCTATGCTGCAAGCTAATAGATGTGAGGAAAACCATTAAACCAGTTGTCTGGGCTGATCCTCCCACCTGTACGCAAGGATGATTCCTCGACTTAAAAAGATGAAGTGGGCCCTTTTTTTTTTTTTTTTTTTAAATCAGTTGATTTTCCAATTTTCCTAGAAAAAGAAAAAGTAGAATTAAATCCTGAATGATAATCAACAGTTGATTGTTTATTTTTTTTTAATCTTTTAGTTTCCATAGCCAACAGTAGAAGACCATAAAATATGCTGATTTTTGGCCTGAAAGGTGCATGCAATAAATGTAAACCACTATGTAATAGTAAAATATATACAGTGTCTGTACAGTTGAGCGTTGTCCATAAATAGCATCATCGCACTCTGACCACACATGAATAATGCAATGTGTAATTTTGCCAACATGTTAGCAAAAGAAAAGGAAATAATTTTGCGTCATCAAAATGGATCTGTGTCACTGTCTAACATTGCTCTTTTAAAGTGCTTCAGATTTTGTGTTTTAAGTGAAAAAGAAATGGTGATAATAATAAAAAAAAAAAGACAGTTAATTCAATTTATATTATTAATTTAGACTTAATATTCATCATGAGGACATGACTGGTTATGCTATTTTTAACTTGCTATTTATTTGTTCTCTTCAATGCTGTTTTATGTTTTTATTAATGTTTTTAAATCCATATCTTTTTATTTGTGTCATCATCAATCAGAAATAATTTCATTTCACTTTTGTCTTTAAATGATCTTCAAAACTAACTTGAAATTTCAGAATAGCTATTTATTTTCACTTTTTTATTGTGAAATTATTTGATTAGACTAGACTAAAACAATCGGGTTAACTACGATTTATACAAGCTTTAAAATTTCAATTCAAAATTCCAAAACAAAATAATAAAAACAAAGCAAAACTTTTGATCTCTCACACAATCGACGTTTTCACAGCACATCTATAAACCTCTTCACACCAGTTAAATGTAATGCTACAACATTTGCAATGTCTGTTAAAGTTATCTGATAAAACAACTCAAATTTAAAGGGATTAAAACAACAGAAAGAGAAGAAACACTCAAAATCAAATCTCTGGGTATTTCAGTGGGTCCCCTCCTTTTAAAATGTCACTTGCTGGCGCAGAGCATATGTAGAATGTAATTGACTGTATGATAAGGCTGGATACACACCCGCGCCTAGAGATAGAGATAGGAGACCCAGTAGACCAGGTTGAAGAGACCGAATGCAGTAGGGAAGAAGATGCGTGCATATGAGTCTATCTTGGCGATGCGGATGTGCAACCTGCCGTGCCGCCAGGCTCCGGAGCGGCAGTCTTCGAAACAGCAGAAGAAGCTGGTGCAGTCCTTTCCGTCCAGACACTCGTAACCGTACTCCTCATCTCGCTCCTGCATGTGTGTGGCGTTGTTCATCTGAATGGCTGTGGCCGAGCGTGGACGGATGTCCACTGTGGGTGTCTGCTTTTGACAGGACAAAATGACACAGTTAGCCACCGGAGCCTCAGAGCGGTGTCATCAAGGCTTCACTGACATACCAGGGGAACTAATTTGAGCTACCATTTTCTCTCTCCCACTTAATTTTAGGTCATTAGTCAGCAAAATGTAATTTGCACCTTCAACTTGCCAATAGACCCTTTTAATGTCAAGAAATACGAGTAAACCCATAACTACCACCTGTGGTTGTAATTAGTGAGGCTTATAGTAACAAAGGGTCAATCCCTGTGGAACCCATGATGCAAATTACAGCTTTGGGCGGGGGTATAGCTGGCAGCTGAGGCAATCATTATATTTTTAGTACAGTAGTTCATTTTGCTTTATTTAGAAGCTATATAAAGCTAGTGCTGGGCAATGCCCCTCCATTTCTTATTATGGTTATGCTCCTGCTGCTGCATAGCATTCAAAATGCTGACTAAGCAATTTGTTGTAAGGTCCATTTCAAGATGTTTTAGTGCCCAGTGATTCAACAAAATGTCCTAATTTGAACCGGAATGTAAGTGGTTTTTCTGAAATACATTTATGAGCTATGTTGTAACTAGCTTATGATACATCATAAAGCTAAGCTTAGGGAGGAGCATGTGTTGGCAGATGTGCAGCTCACAGCTCAATATTTCTCCAGCCCACTCTTTCTGTCACTAAACGGGTTAAAATAAAGCTCTTTTTTTCGTTCTTTCTTCCAATCTGTGCTCACCACTGGAGGGCACATGCCTTTCATTTGTGAAGATGCCTAAAATAGGACAGTGACATCAGTGGTTCTATGGCCCTGTCATTTTAAAAGGGGGAGACAATTAGTATTCAAATAGACTGTTTTCATCAGCTTTTATCTGGAAATGCCACGCCACCTTTGCACAAATTGGAATTCTGGCTGTTTGGCAGATTAAATGCTTTCTCCTCCCCCCTCTTTGGCAGAAGTGGAAGATTCCTGACCTTGCTGATAAACTAGGATGTCAAGCTCATCATTTAAAAGAGAAACACTGAGTTTAGAGCTGTCCAAAGTTCAGCTTCTAAGAATTTCATCTCACTGCTTTCCTTTAAGACGGTGACCCCAGTCATCATTTCAGTTGTTCCCTATGTTTTGTAACACAGAGACAATAACCTATAAGTGACTACACTGGCACTCCAACATGTATTTATGCTCTGTGTTGTGGGAATATGAGCTACTTTTGATCAGCTCTTCCATCACATAAAAGTAGATACTTTTTTGTTTTCATCTGCCACATAAATGAATTTTACCTCCTTTTAATGTATCTACAAAAAGCATGCTTGCTGCAAAAAAATTAGGTCATTGCAGTTTTCGTTTTGAACATGTCATTATCTGCTGTAAACATGCATCCTCGAACAAGCTTAAAGTATTGTTCAAAGAAAGGTTCATTCCCTACGACTTCTCATCTGCCCAGCACTAGTGCACAAAACTGCTGTCCCTTTGAAAACGATACATAACCACAACAAAACAACATACGGGTTAGTTTCAGCTTTTTTTTTTTTTTTTGTCCTTATTAACGGACCGTATGTTAAGTTTATGAGGGGATTAGCAGAGCAGGTTATGGCTCGGTTCTCAAAGGGGATCGGTTGCACTGAAAGGAAGCGCAGTGGAAAGCTCAAGCAGAAGGAGCGTTAATAGCATCCCGCCGCATGGCCTGGTCAAGCTGGGCTATGCTGAATCGGTGTTAGCAAAAAATAAATAAATGAATAAATAAAAACAAGGAACCAACACAGTTGCATTGGCAGCTTTAACTGGCTGAAAGTAGACAACCGCTCAGAGGAGACAAAATGTGGAAACACTTCAGGTTCATTACAGGAGAATTTCATTCATGTTTCCATACTGCAGGTCGATTTTTCAACAGTGCATTCAGACTATCTCTGAAAATCCAACTTCCATGCCCTATTGAAATATAGATGCGGGACCTTTATGTGCATAAACAGCTTGCCTGGTGGGTTAAATTTAGATCTTTACTAGCTTTCACCCACCCTGGCTGCTTTGTGGGTGTTTATATATTACCATGTGTTAATCTTCTGAATGAACTTCCAATTCTAATTAGACTTAACACAGTGCACGGGTTGTCTGTTTCAGTCTGTTAAGGCTCTGCTGACTCTGTAGGAAGCGTCAGGTTGAGAAGCCCAACAAACACACAGGTATAGATTTACTGGCAGGAGAAGGGAAAGAAGAGGAAGCTATTGTAGCAGCTGCTAGTTCACTGTGGTAACAACAACAAAGAGTGAAACAGGACAGAGGGAGCCAGAATGAGTCCACACTGGGCCTGGACTATTACATTCTTCTGGACACGGGATGTGTGGGATGCTTATTTGAATTTTAAAAACTGCATAAGTATGTCTGGCTGGCTGCCTCCGCACTGTGCACTGCAGAGCGCCCCTTTTTTAATGTTATCTCTGATACCTATTTAGTAACTGAGGAGGAGTACAGTAAGAATGCAGGTAGATAAAGAGGGAAAAGAGAGAGAGAGGCGTATCTGCTGTAGAACAGACAGAAAAGCAGTGAGGTGCTGGGGGCTCAAAGAGCCAAAATGCAGCAGACACATGCAGTCAGACACAGGCAATATACCTTTGAGGAAAAGAGCCGGAGGAGCTTTTGTCCAGACAGGAGAAAAAGAAATTGTGGAATTGAAAGAGAGTAAAAAAATAAAGAAAATAGAAAAAAGAAAAAAAAAAGAATACATGTAAACAGAGAACAAAAAAATCAATAACCAGAAAAATAAACATAAAGTAAATGTGTGAAATATACAAGTACTGTATCGTCTAACTCAGAATGGAAAGAGAAGTAATATACTGTAGAGAGACATACATGTTACGAACAGACACAGGGGGAGATGCATGGTGGGATATATGTATCTCACATGCTTCTTATGCAGCATCGCCTTAAGGAAAATATCACTACAAAACTACAAAGATTAAGTATACACCATCCAGTATTCACACTTCACATACTCCTCATTAGTGACATCATTACATTTTCAAGTGATTTTTTTTTGTCTTACACAGCATTTCATTAAGCATTTTCATCAGCACCGCTATGCATAGCTGATGTAGTAATTCATGACTGTATTTTAAAGGAAATAAACTGTTGCAGAAACCCCATGAGATTCACATCACATGAAACCACAGGAACTAGCAAGTAGTGGAATCGATTCTTTTTTACATTCCCTTATATTTCCTCGATTTACGGTTATTTCCATGTTTTTAATTAATAACGAACATCAAAAATAATTTCAGTTGAAGACCTCCTTTCTTCGCATTCTTCCTCCTCCCCACGTCTTGGCAAGTCAAGCAGAGAACCTAGAAAAGCCCCTCTGAGATGGCAAACTGGCATTACACCTTCTACTTCATTATTCATTCATTCGTCCACGAGACAGACCATGTGCAAAACCTCCGTTACAGGGGCTAAAACTAGATCGCCCCACTTTCCTCCAAGTTCCAGTTCAATACTCCTCTTCGCCCGAGTGCAGCATACTTAGAGGTTTAAGATTTAATGTCCTTCATGTCCAAAAAAATGCTCCCAAGATGGATTTTGGTTACCTATAACCATGTTTTTTTTTTGTTTTTTTGGTTTGGTTGGTTTAGTAATCCAAAAACTAATGCATAAAGACATAAACTTAGTGAACTTTAAGTGATAGATTTGAACTAATTTCCATTAGAAATCTCCATTTCTACAACCACAAGCCAACTCTAACAGATTAGCTAGAACTGTAAGTCAAAGGTAAACATACACTTAAGCATTAGGTGTTAGGATATTCGGTGAGAGCTTGTGGCCCTTAAACCGAGCTGCCATGATCTCTTGAGGGATTTAAGGCTCATATGAGGCCAACTCTACTGCCGTGTGACCTGGATCTAAATTACAACTGTAACAGATGTGTGGTGGATTATGAAAAGGTTCAAGCTGCACGCCTCGCTCATTGAGTAATTTGAGGTGGTGGCCCGTGGGAAGATGCTCCCTTAGGGATTCTAAGCAGTGTATAGCTTTTTTCCCCCTACAGCTTAACTCACTACTGTACCACGGTGGGGGAAGGATAGAAATTGTGTAGGGAGAACCTAGCCTTTAACCTAAATAAAAGGTTCTGTCAACACTGATTATACGTCCTGATATTTTCTTTTAAAACAATGATACTTGTGGTTTGGGCAATACCTGAAACCTCAAGGTATACTTGGAAAGAATAAATCTATTTAGTTAGTTTTGGAACAGCGCTTACCGGGTTTTTCTTCTTCTTGTCCTTTTTGGCACTCGGCTTCCTGTTGCTGACAAAGTAGTGCAGCGTACCGTACTCTATAAGTGCGGCGAAGACGAAGATGAAGCAGACGGACACAAACAGGTCCATGGCAGTCACGTAGGAAACTTTTGGAAGAGATTTTCTAGCTATGGTACTCAAGGTGGTCATGGTCAGCACAGTGGTGATGCCTGGTAATGAAATAACAGAAAACAGGGACAATTAGATCAGATTAAATGTAGACAAAGGACAAGTTGAATTGATCTTCTGAATGGCGCTCAACGGCATTTATCATTGCAAATGCCGAATGCCTTTATATCTTAAAAAAAAAATACTCACAACAAAGTCTTATCACTGTATCAGAATCTAATTTTGACCCTCGCATATTGTGTATTTTCTGTTATTGAGTGGTGTAGTTATAACAATTAACATAAAAAAAGAAAAATATGATTTAAAAACATCTAGAAATTGCATCTTTTTGCTATAATTGTTAAAAAAAATATTTTGAAAAGTTGTAAATCTACTGCTCCTACATACTGTATGTTTACTCAGTATTACACTTTACAAAAGCAGATCACTTTACCGGATGTTTTCTGGTAATCGCATACATTAAATTACAGTAAAATAATATTGTGGTTGTTAGGCTGTTGTGTTCTTTCGTGGTGTTGTGTTTGGATAGGCCAAATAGTGTGTATGCTCCCACCACCTCAGGTCAGTGGTGTTAATCTCCACATCTGTTATTTCTGGAAGTTTAGGAACCCCTGATGAAAGCATCTTGCAGTACATAATGTGCAGTTAAACTTAAATGCTGTAAAGCACTTTGCATCGCTCTATTGTATGAGGTACATTTGGAGGTACATGAGGTACATATGCTCTATTGTATGAGGTACATTTTTATGCGTTGCTCTATTGTATGAGAAGTGCTATATAAATAAAGTTTGATTTGATTTGATTTGTGATGAAGTTAAACATGTTGAGCACGATGCTTCCAGCTTTATCCAGACATTTAATGATGTAATGCATTAGGGGGGGGAAAAACAAAAAAACAGATTACATAGTTTGCCAGTACTATCATCTCCAAATACTTTCACTGTTGGAAGAAGGTTGAAATGAACTGAAGCCCAAGTGAGATTCAAAATTGGAGTGGACCTTTTTTTTTTTCAAATAATTTTCACAGATTGTGCACCAGATTTCTAAAGTGTTAATTCCAAAAACCATGTGCTCATACATTTTTCGAACTCAGGAACACATGTGCTCCTAAATGTTTCAGTATAGGAGGTACATTTTTCAAAGTGGGAACACAAGCGCTGCCTGGGGGACGAAATGAATCACCAGAGAGTTGAAGGTCTGCATAATAATGAATTTAGCTGCATTAATTCATTAATTTATACATTTGTTTATTTACTGCAGTGCGACATAACAAAGAAGGATATGTGAGCTGACAAATGATCACTGACGGGACAAAACGTGCAGACATCAATGCGGTATGCAATATTTACATGACATCAAGACAATGCAAAGTGTTTATAAGAGGGACAGTGAGGCTGTGTTTTTTGATGTGTGTGGTGCTGTTTGTGCATATGGATCATAGTTGGTGTGTGGAATTAGAGGTAAAATGCTAGAGATTTATTTTATTAATCAAAATTCCATTGTGAAACTGTGACTAAAGAAATTTAATATTGCTTAAAAAGGTCTTAACAGCAAAAAAAAGAATCATTTTGAGAACTTTAGGGGATTTTGTAACAAACAGAGTGGAAATATTAAGTTGTGGGCCTCGTACAAAAAGAACTAATGCTTGCTCTTTAACTGCAAGCTCTTAACAGCCAAGAGGGAATAGTAAGCAGTTGTTTTACTGTCCCGTTGATCCACATACTTAGTCCTTATCAGTTCATCTGCAATTGACCACAACACCGACATACTACATTCCTATACGCACCATCTGGTATCCATCTCTGGTAACCCCTTTTACTCACTGTGTGCCTCTAATGACGATGTAGAAGGAGGCGGAGTGATGGCACATGATGAGGGAATGTGTTTTCACTAAGTACACAGATACAGCAGATTACCAACAGCAGCATCACATCCCCCAAACAGCAACAAACAAGCAACCGACATGACCGCCTGCTTCCTTTAAATGTATCATACGTGTAAAGGGGAATTGTTTTGCGCATAGAGGATGATTTATGTCTAAATTTAATGTGAACTGAATGACATCAGTCTACGTCAAGATTAACATTGTAGTGTTGTGAGTGAATTGATATATTTCTGGATGGCATTGAAGGATTAAGAATTATGTCATCTGCATTAATCCGCTTCCTAACCACTCGGCTGCGTGTACCTCCCGCATCATCTTTCAAAGAGGAAATTAAGACATTTGACTCCTGGTACAATTTTAGCAGGGAATTAATTGTGTTATTACTTCAACTGCAAATCATGTCTGGAGCTGCAAGAGAGAAAGAAAGAGAGAGAAAAAAAACAACAACCTATTTTTAGAGAGATTAATAACAGACAACTTAGTGATGATAGTAAGGTAGAATGAGGGTTTGTGCCTGCAGGGATTGTTTTACATTTAGTTATGCTCGCTTTTACTCGTTAATAATCACATCACATGGACTTGAGGTCAGGCTTCGGAGCCTTAAGGGGCCAACAGGAAAGCTGACTAAGGAATATGTATGTAACTGCATCACGAGTGAACTTCTGAGGATGTCCACTGGACGCCAAGGGCAAGTTCAAAAGCTGACAAATTTCCTTGAAATCCTCGTTTTTGCCCTCTTTTTTTCATTCCGTGTCCCTTTTTTCCATTCTGTGAAGAGGCCACCTGCATTATTATTGTGCTGAGGCTGCATCTCTGCATCTTCCCTGCTGTATTGCATAATTAATGCCTCATTAAGGCATGCACGCAAACATATGTGCCAGGATAGGCTCTTCTAATCAAGATGCACTAGATTCCTAAGCAGCTGCCCTGTCTCAGAGGGGAAAAAGGAGGAGGAGAGAAAGGATGTTGAAGGAGAAGAGAAAAGGAAAAAGTGAGAACTGCAGGAAAGAGGAAGCCTAAGCAGAGGGATTTACAATACGAGGTTGTGTGTTTGACCACCACAGGCTTCTTGATGTGTTTCACAGCAGGGATTAATTAAGGTCAGGGTGGCCTTAACGAACCTCACAACTGCAGCGTATCTGTTTGGGCTTGCTGAATTGATTGCAAAAAATGAACTAAAACAAAGAAGTTGGAACAAATTACAGAGATGTGTAGCCTTGAAGAAAAGGAGAAACTGTTTTAGCTGATGTTAGGTTGCATTAAATATGATCAGTTGCAGAAATACTGTAACTTTGTGTTTTGTCTTTGTTACCTAATGACGTCCTAGCAGGTACTGCATCCTTGTTGATCCAGAATGAGACCCAGGAGAGAACAACAATTAGTGTGCATGGGATGTAGGTCTGGATGGTAAAGTAGCCCATTCTCCTACTCAGGTCAAAGAAGACGGTCAGCACCACGTAGTCGCCTGTGCAGAGATAAAATAAAAAAAGAGGAGAGCAGATAGAGTGAGTGAGGGCTCTATAGAATGTATAGTAAAACAGGGTTATAAAGCATATATGAGACATTAAATATTTAATGTAAAAAGTGCAAAAGCGGCAAAAATTATGAAACTTGATTATCAATTCACAGTCTATACCTAAAAAATGTACAATAGGAAAGTATATCCACTTAATAAATCATTTCACACCATCTGCTGTGGTCTAAGAAGATCAAAAAAACACCAAGAAAAGATTAGACAAACTGTTATGTCTTCAATACATAATGTTGTGTAACCAAAATGTTCACTGCATGTTTGCCCAAGGCAGCCTGAGATCTAAAATGAATCGGAATGATTCAGAGAGCTGGAGCTGGACTTGCTTGGATGCACACACAAACCCTTGTCTCCTGCCAGTAGTTAGCTGGAACATGAACATCAGCATCCAGCTGATGATGAGCCATCCCTGGCTGGCTGGCTGACCCAAGCAGATGTTGGGTGTTAAGAGGTTGAGGTTAGCTGAGCCCAGATAGACCTGACCCTGACAATATGGATCATCTGGCCCGCCTGCTTAAACTGCATGCTAAGCATCCATGCCAACCATGCAGGAGCTCCTACATGCACACATGTGAACCCTTATGCAAATGTGCTCCTAACACCGTTGCAATGAGGGTGAATTGAACCAGTATTAAACCGAGAGACAGACGTGTGTAAAGGAAGCAGTCATCATACACACACACACACACACACACACCTTCCAATGGCATCCCTGCCAGCTTGACAATGCAGCAGTGCTTGCCAATAGTTACTGTCCTCTTTAGTTGTCTACCACTGTACCTGTCTGTCTCTGTGAGTTTAATGACAGTTCACTGCTGGCCTCCAGCTCAGTCAGATGTCTGCTAATTGATTAACATCAGACAATTAACAGTGTCGGGAACCTCCTCTGGCCTTGCGCTATGGCTTGTAACCTGCAGGGCAGAAACATACGCTCTCTCAGATATGTATCTATGTGTGTGTGTGTGTGTGTGTGTGTGTGAGCGAGTGTGTGTTTAAGCGCCCATGGCACGTGAAATAGTCTCTGCAGCTGGGGAGCGAACAGCTGGCTAATAATTTTCCTCATGAGAAAGGGCGCACAACACATACTGCAGTTTACTGAAAAACAGCCAACATCTGTGTATTTGTGTGTTAATGAGAGACAGAGAGGGAAAAAGAGGAGACTGTCAGTGTTTATTATGTCTGCGAGCATGTGCTCTCTGTGTTACACAGTGCTCATAGTGTCTGGACAGGGACCCCGTCTTTGTGATTTATCTCCGCATGTACCCCTTTCATTCACCCGGCCATTGATAGCATCATTAAATAAACCAAGTGCAATAACCCCTGCAGCACAACCATAACTGTTCATATCACCATGTGTGCTTTCTGCTGATGCAGGCAGGTGTGTGGAATATTACAGTGCACTGCCTGGATTTGTAGGAGTGCTGGAGACACATGAAGGCTGCTCTCAGGGGTCCCGCTGCCCACTATTTTGTGTTTATTAACATTACATTAGCAGGGGCCCAAAACCGGGACCCCTGACAGCTGAGAAACTGCCGGTTAATACACTTATTCCAGCTTGGTCAGCAGCACAAAGGCTTCTTCACATTTCCTCAGACTCTTAACGATAATGGACTTTCCACCACAGGGGTGAGGTCGGTTGGTGCATGACCCTCCTGCCATACGCTCCTCTTCATCTGTTCGCCAGTTTCATTACGGGCCACAGCACTTGCCAAGAAGACACTTTGAGAAGGTGCTATCGACCGATGCCCTCCTCTCTGGCAAGATGATGTATCAGTTTCAGAACGCCTGCCATTACAGCCCTGTAGTAATGCATCGGTTTGTTAATGACTTCCTGATTCCACTCAAAACAAAATGGTTTCTAGTTCCCTCACTGGCTTAAGTGTTTGGCAGGGATTTCACAACATAGCCATTTGCGGAGCAAATACTTTTGTGCTTCAGATAAACAGTCCCAACACAATCAGCAGACTGTGTGAACACAGATTTGTTTTACACGGAGGTGTGGATTCACCATGTAAAATCTTGATGTGATCGTATGAGCTGTCAAATTATGCTGAAATCAAGTTTTGTTTGGAAAAAAGTATAGAGCCCATTAGAGCCCATGTGAAAACGGTGGTATGTGTGGGGCTGGGGTGGGTAACGCACTGAGTATTACTGTCTTTATCATCACTAGAAGTTGCTTAAGTCACAAATTTCAGAATCCTGCACACATGAGTTCTATCTACTATCATTAGAGGCATCAGTGTTGCTGTCTGAACATATAATTAAATTATTTTTGATCTTGTCTTGTTATTATTATCTAAGAAAATGTACATAAAGTGGAACAGGATTCAAATGATTCCTTTTTGGCATTTGTACAATTTGTACTTATTCAGGTTGGGAGGAGAAGTTTGGTTTTGCAGGCATTACTGCACACTTCAATGTATTCAGGGAAAGTAGATGTTTTTTCACGTGTATACACATGCATTCCTGTGTGTGTGTGGGATGAAAAGCCAGTTAATTTCCCTATATTCCCTACATCTGAGCTTTCATACTGGCGCTCCTACTAATTGGAGCCCTCAATCTAACCTTAGTTAGAACTTGTCGGGTGTGTTCACAAGACTGTTCACACTCTACCTTCACAGCTCCTATAGAAAGGTTCTTTTTTCAAAGCAGTTAACACAAAGGTTCAATTTAACTTCTCCGGATCAACAATGAATATAAAGCAGCTGTCATACGTGATGCTGTGATCTAGCAGCCCTCACGTGTATCCAATAACACCCACATTTCCAGCGATCCTACAGGTTCTTTGCTCATTTTATGATAAGCCACTCAATTTCATGCGGTAATTTCCCCAGTTACAAGAACACACGGATCTCTGCGGAGGCAAGCCATTCGGCCCTCGCTGTTTTCTTTGCCGCTCTGTTGTAAAAATTCCTAAAAGTTCAAATTTTTGCCAATCCTACCAATCTTATTGCCATAATTACATCGCTATCAATTCAGCCCAGACCTTTCTGTTTACAATTCATGAATAAAGGAATGCTGATGACAGCTGTGTGAAAAATCAACGACGCAGAAACGGCTCAAAACTATTGTTTGTATTAAGATATGGTTTGAAGTATTTTTATTAGGATCACACATTTTCTTGGCAAAAGCGATTTACTATGAGCTGATGTAATCTACAGAAAGCAATAAAAACTTGGCGGGCATGATCATTCATCAGAAAACAGTGTTGCTTTATTGTTAAAAGCCGCAGAGACAACACGCTCAACAGAATTAGCCACACACAGCAGAGGGAGAGGAAAAAAGGAAAAAAAAAAGATCATTCCTCCAGTATGAGCCTTCCACTGTGTGTAGAAATACAAAGATGGGTGGTTATTATTATTAGAATACTGTAATTGCTATAACGGAACGCATTTGATAAGAGTGTTGAACCTGCAAGAGGAGATGTTGATTTCAGCGCGGCTGTACATTATTGCAGAATAGCCCCAGGGGAGTTCATAAGAATGAAACATGGTAATTCAGGATTGCTGACCAGAAGAAGAAGAAAAAAAAACTGTCAGATCAGAGTATCATTCTCCTGGCAGCTAGGCTGTAAATTGGTGTGGATATAGATGGGCAGGGGAGACCTGAGGCACATGCTGGCCATCCAATGAAGGGAGACAAGCCAGAAACATTGCAGAGCTGCTGACAGGCTGTCTCACTGAGCTCCTCTCCTGTCAGGGGTCATGTATATCAGAGGTGACAGCGGATGCTATTGTGCGTGTGTGTGTGTGTGTGTGTGTGTGTGTGTGTGTGTGTGTGTGTGACTTTGCGAGAAGGAAAAGTAGCTTTGCTAATGACCAGGGTTATGCCTTAGCTGGTTGCCAGGGTCAACAATACTTACAGAGGATGTTAACTCACCACTTTCTGTGACATGACTCTGGGCCATATGAGTGATTAACTAGTTAAAATGGCTTAGCATTTTTCCTCCGCAGGCTACTACGGCTACAGCAGTCGGTGGCGGGATGATGTCACAGCGAGAAGGGGGGGAAAAAAAAGGCACAGCATTGTCATGGTGAGTAACTGCGGCAACACAGCGGCATGATTAAACACCAGACAGGAGTCTACAGAGTTTGATTGCCTTGTTGTTAACATTGTGTTTACTGTGACGGGGACAGATGATTATCCCTCTCTCAGACACACTAATAGCTCTCAAATTATTGAGAGCAAGGCTGTTTATGGGATTTATGACAGGTAGTAAGAAGCTGCCAAAACAGTTTTCCTCACCATTATGTGAAGAATTTAGTAGAGAGCGGAAAAGTTTGACAGATTGTTCCTTTTTTTTTTTTTTTTTTAAGATGATGTGTTGCTGGTAGTACAAGTATTTCCATGCTGGGATGTACCACTACAGGTGTGCTGTAGTGGTACATTCCAGATTGTACCAAGTCAGGATACTCAGTTGATTATCAAAGGCCTTAAACTCGGCAAAAATGCAGTTGCTACATTATGTCCCTGTTTTTATTGTGTTTTCACGGCCCATATTACCAAACACCTTATAATTAATCAAATCAACCCCAGTAATCACCACACAGACCATGCAATAATTGCCTGTTCTGCCCACTTGGCAATCCAGCCATCTAAAAAAAGGAACAATTTTTCGTTAACAAATTGTTACATCTCAGGCCACAAATAAACATCGCCTTTATTCCTTGTCCTTGCCTAAATAGCTTTATCTCTCTACAGAATTTAGGCACCCAAAACTCCATTAGCAAGTTTATTTCCATCACATGTACTTAAAACAAATAAAAAACAAGGGCAAAACATTTATGAGCCACTTCTCTCCCAGTCTGTTTTCATTATATCTGTTTTTCCAGCTTACCTCGTCTAAAAATGGCTTCATTATTTCTTATTCACACACTGACGAGAAATGCGATTCACACTCATTACATAAGCTTGAAGTTCTACGATTCAGCTCT